TTTTTTTTTTCATTACCAAGAAAACTACTCAATTCCCTGTATCATTGGTAATCTAATTCACTCTCTACATTTTCAAGTGTGGTTACTACCAGATACAACTGCATCCCAAGGCTAGCCATCTATATATAAGGCTACAGAACAGAGCTCACTGGAGCTTTGTGCTGTAATGGCTGTGAAATCCTTAAAATGAAATTTTATCACTATAAATCTCTGCTAAAAAGCTCTTCTCTGACTTTTTCTGTGCATTTTTCTGTGCATTTTTTTTTTTACCAGGGGAATAATGACATGGCTCACTTGAGGAACAAAGGTACTACTCGGCTCACTGAAATATGGGTGCTATGTGGCAAATTTGGGTGGTTTTCAACCCTCCTCCCCCTTTCCAGGGGGCCTATATCAAAGTCAAGGACTTTCTCTGTCAAGTCCACCAAGTATAGACTGCATGATAAGAACTAAAGGGCTCCTTATGGACTGGTAAGCTAGTCTGTCTGGTGCTACTATCTGTCTTGTGGGCCTCCTTGGTTCTTAGTCTTCTTCTGACCATGCTGTGTCCTTGTGCTTCTGTTTTATGTTGTTTCAGATACTTGGCTGTATTAAGCAACATCTATAGCTTCAGCCTTACTTTCTAGATCCTGAATAACTCCCAGCTCTGGCTGTGACATGACACTGATTCCACTATCAAGTGATTGTTGAACCAGGCCCTCTACTTAATCATCTCACATAGGTGATATCTGGGGATGGAATGTTTGTGCTTCTGGACCTAAATCAGACTTTCCTACTCCCCTGATCTTTAGAGTAGACCTGGCTTTCTTTTACTGAGGCTCTGTCTCAGGCTGAATATCTAATGTACTTGAGTTGAATGAGTGTTGGTTGGTTTCTCACCCAACTCTCCTCTCCTTGGTTGTAGGATGAGGAGAATGATACTCAACCACCTCATACATGAACTGGACAAGTGCTCTATTATACATCATCTGAGGAATGATTTTGTGGCTTAATTCACCTGTGGAATGACAACTTTCTTCCAGGTTTTCTGCCACAGGGACTTCCTCCATAGAGCAAATTCCACTAGGCAACAACAACATCTCTATGCAGGGTTCTCTCTGGAACATCTGCATTCACAAGTGCTATGATTAGATCAGAGGTCGGCGACATGCGGCTCTTTTACTGTCCTGTTGACGCTCCACATCAGAATTAGATTTTTAGGTAAAAATAAAATAATCCTCCTTTACAGTAAAATAAAGCTCTGCTGATCGTTTAAACACAGATTTAATGATAAATGGTCTTAAACACTGGAGTTAATGTAGAACTGCTCATTCACTCTTTAACCCTGAAGGCTGGCGTGCAGACTGCTGGTCGGAACACAATCTCGCCTAGCTAGTAGCTAAACGAAACGGCAAAGAGAAAGATTTAAGATGAACATCGACAATCTGAAGCTGGTTTCCTGACATGTTTAATTTGAAACGAAAAACTGTAAAACAAAAAGCTGTGAAGCTAAATTCAGCTTGTTGTTCAATCTGTCCCGTTCCACCTTAAACGGTGCAGCAGTTACATTCTGGCGCCTCAGGCACCATATAAGGTGGAACGGGAAAATTCAAACAAGAAGCTGCAAACGAAAAGATGACCTGAGCCTCGTAAAAAGCAGAACGTTGAGATACATTTTACAAGAAACTCTTCTACTTTTGAGGAAAAGTTTCCTGCTGGAGATGTGAGAAAAGCAACTATGGCTGAGCTAAAGCTTAAAGCAGAGCAAAGTAAGTCTGTGTTTTCATTTATATAATATTTTTAGCCTATCGAAGTACATTCGCGTATTCTGAGATGTATTTACAGCCAAGACGGTACATTCCTCATAAGGGGCATGGGGCGGTAATCATAGATTGAGTTTGCACTGGCAAGAGTGAACAACAGCAGTATAAAGGATTGCTTGAATTGAGTGGAGATGCTCTACTCTCTGTAGTTTTAGTTATCAGGGGTGTCCAGCTATTATCAGCACTGTCTGGGTCAGACTCTACACTATCATGTTCGTCAGGTTAAGTAGCAGCAGACTGCACTAGTACATTAATGCACTCGACGGCTGCACTGCCAGTTGCTGAACCTGCTTTTCCCACTTCTACTATTTTAGTCACTTTCCCATACTTTTCAAAAGTAGTAGTGTAACAGTTCTGAACCAAAACCATGGTTTGTCAGCCAACATTTCGGCTCACAGTACACATGATATGAACCGCATCGTCGTGTCTCGCTAAAAGAGCGCGTGCTCTGTTTTGATCACACAGCACACAAGTTGCAATGCTTCCAGCAATATTTGGCACAAAACCCTTCCCCTTCCTCTGACTGTGCCTAGGCAATAACAGAGGTAACAGGTCTATTCACTGCATTTGATAATAGCAATAATAATAATATGAATCATCAATCAATCAAGTTTTATCTACAACACATTTCACAGTTTTAGTTTCACAGCCTTTCAGTCTCATTTATATGCACCCATTTCAAATAATAGAGAATGACTGATTGAAACTGAGCCCAAGCTGCAGTATGACTGCATTTCGGTGCAGCACAATTCACTGCAATTGCTACAGACAGCTGGACATCTCAAGGCTTTATTATCTTCATAAAAGAAAAACTTGAAAAACGAGTGATGGCTACATTTATTTCATTTGATGTTTGCACTATATTTGCTTGTTGTTTACCTTTTTATGCTCAATACTTGGTACAATTGCTCTACCTCTTGATGTGATTTACATGTTTGATTCCAACTGACGTTTTGTTCTGCTTGTTGACGTTTACATTTATTGTTGTTTTGCAACACGTTTTTTTGTCATTTATTTCTTTCTGTGTTTGCACGTCTTGCATTAAACGTATATTGTCCCTGTCCAAAGAAAAACAAGTCTCCAAAATAGTAGCTTTACAGGAGAGGGCAAAAACACTCTGACCTTTCAATGTAAGTTAATGTACAGAGATTTTATTCCAAGTGATTTTAGAGCATTTCTATTGGTCCATTCATCATGAAATGTTTATATGACGTGAAGGACAGCTGGTGTGTTGAAATGATGTAGAAAAATAAAAATGGACAAAAATGGAGATGCACGGTTTTCTTTGGACGGAGACAATATTTAACAATAACAATGAAAAAACTTCAAGGTTCAAAGTTGGTTACATTCCTTCATACTGATGTGTGATACAAACCAGATCATGGCTCAGACCAAATTGTGAAAGGGGTGAAAAGTTATGCTTGTTTTTAATATCTGTTTCTGTTTAAGCCTTCCATACTTTTACTGAATTGGCTTTGAATCAGATGTTTAATTAAAGAAAAAGTAATAATACAATCTGTGTATTTGTTTATATGTACATAAATATGTATATTAATATAAAATTCTACTGCTATATAGGGAACAAACCCTCCTGGAATGGTTTGACACTTTTTTTCTGTAGTGTGGTGCGGAAATGTACAGAGTAGTAAATAAAATAAGTGAATAACTCCAAGCTTGTGACTAGATTTGACAAAAGGGTTTAAGAAGTAAGAAGTGAGGCAATAACACTGAATATAAGTGACTGTCAACGCATTCAAAAGGTTAACAATTAATAATGCACAGTTTTAGGCCTTTGAAGAACAACGGAAATATGCATGTCTGTGTGTCAAGCACTCAAGTTGTAGCGCTCTCTCTCTCTCTCTCTCTCTCTCACCCCCCCCCTCTCTCTCTCTCTCTCACACCCCTCTCTCTCTCTCTCTCTCTCTCTGCTCCTGCTGTTGTCAGTAGAGCTGCACTGCACAGGAGAAAAACCCACAAGACCACAAGATTCATGTTGATATGCTCAACCTCTCTTGCTCACTTTGGAAAAACAAAAAGCGAGCAAGAGATGTCCAAATAAAAAAAAAAAGGTATACAGTAACAGCTCTTTAACTTGCATTTCTCTTCTCTGGCTTTGCATTTTTGCATTTAAGAGCAACACCATAAAACAAAGGTCTTAAATCTTCTGGCATACTCACTAATCACAATATCCACTGGCTTTAGCATAAGGCTATAATACATGGCTGGATAAATATAAACAAAACTGTGGCCGATTACTCATTATCTAGAAAAACAGATCTTGCTGTATCACTGATAATCCAAATAATACTCCATATTTTCTAGTGTGCTTTCAACCAGCCGTAATAACTGCATCTTAAGGCCAGCCGGCTTTGTAGAAGGCTGGAGAAAATGACTCACTGAAGCTGTGCTTTAACAGCTGTAAAACACTGAAAATCAGGTTTAACACAATAAAAAGCTTTTCTGTGGCTTTTTTGTGCATCTCTGAACAGCTCAATTACAAGGGGAAAAATGACACTGAAATGCGGGTGGCGCTTTTATGCGCTGTATTAAATTTAGTTGGGTTACGAACATATCAGTACTTTGGCCTCTGTGTGTGAACACTACTTTCTCTTAAAGAATATTGCGATGCTATGTTATATCGATTTGTTTCTCTCACTACCACCTACCTCTTATCCCAGCCAAGCCAAGAAAGAGACAGAGATAGAAAGCAACTCTGACTCTGTGTCCAGCCATACGCAGGTGCTCATGTGAGGTGAGCTCAAACAGGGTAGAAGTTGCTCCAACTAATCTGCTTTTATGGCTCTGATAAAAGTAATGTCACCTTTCCCCCATCCTGCGGTTCAATGCATCTCTACAGCGCTTCAAAGCTGCCCCAGCTTGGGCTAAATGTCTGTGGGGGACCATCTCTCCAGCAATAACACTTCATTTGAATGCTCTCTGTAAGTGTATGTTCATTCCCTGATCTCTTTAATAGGTTAGCCCCCACTGTCATGTGAGAAGACGCCTGCAGGTGTGTTCACAGTGGAGGAAAAGGCCGACAGGCATGGGGGGCGGGGGAAGAAGGCACTTGCTCCAAAAACTCTGACGGTGCTTGTACTTTATCTGAAGGTTTGTGATTGGTCTACTGAATGCAATGAGGGCTTCCCATTGATGGCAGCAGTCCAGCAACCTAAAGAGCATAGTTTAAAAAGCACTCACCGGCGTCAGTTTGTCATTTTCCAGCTGACTTGCTTTGTTCTTGATCTCAGGAGCTGACGGCCTCTCTGAAAGGAACACAGCGGGATGAATGAATGAATGTATGAAGAAAAACATCCTCTAAAAACTGTACAGTTAGATATTAACCAAAAAGGAGGATTACATGTTTAGTATGTTAACCCCTTCTTATGTTCCTTCAGGGACTCTTCTGAAAATTCTCAGGAAAGGAGTAGGGTCAGTTCACAGTAGCTGTGCCACTTTGACTCACAACTTATAGTTAGGGTATCAAAATTCAGTACTTTTATACTTTTATTTAATACTTTCCATACTTTCTTAATACAAATTGAACTTCAATATGTAAGCAGTTAATCTTAACAGTGAACCAATGAGTTCATGCATGTTCCAAAATCTAGAATGCAGACTGGCTGTCTAAATACTTTAAAGATAGTATTGTGAATTGCTAATAGATTGCATCTATCACGACTGCCAATCAAGCTGGATGATTTAAATGTTAGAAAATGTGACAACCATGGCTCTAAGATGCACAAAAGTTGATCATGTTTGTCTCATAATCGTTTTAATTTTTGTTTTTAAATTATGCCTAATTATGCGTCTTCAGAACATCCCCCGTTTTTTAAACGGATAAAGCCGTGCCGCAGCCTTCCATGCATATCAGCTTCCCTTGTGAAACATGAACATGGCCTTAAATTATTTTGACACTGTAGTTACATAAAAGTTATGAAAAACAAAAAAAGATAAGACCTACTACAGTTATTAATCGCATTATAACAATAATAGGCTACAGGAACAGTAGCCTATCGGCTACCTTCAGACAGTAAGCCACTTTATTATTTTAAAAAGAAGCGATTTAAAGGCTATACAATGTATTAAACTTACAGCAAGAACTGCCGAGGTATAACAGGAACAAAGTTAGCCTGCATTTTCAGATCAGATTAGACGGTATTTGCATTTTTGTTCACTGTGCTGGTGGCACATCAAAGCGTCTCTCTTTTTATTCTTTTTTGAATGCAGCTTCTGTTTGCCTGCCACCAGTGCATCTTGGATAGTACAGCAAGTACATCTACTTCGAAGACCTCGCAACTATTTCTGGTCTAAGATACGCCAACTTTCAGTTAGTTAATTGAAAAGAAGATATCAAAAAAATACCTTCAGATACAGTATTGGTAATAATATCTATTAAATTACTAATAATAGTTTAGTATCTATTAAATAACTAAATTTTGAGCCCTATGTACAACAGAAGACAAATGGGAAGGTCATAACACATCTTCACATTAGCCTCTATTATAAGTCTTATTATAAGAATCAGTGGGTTTTCTGTTCTTATACTAAATACAAGGAATGTCTTGAAATTAATGTCTACCATAACCGGCTGCACGCTACACATGCAGTAGATAGAGTTTAGATTGGAGACTGAAGTATTCCTAAAAATGTCATGGTACGTGTAGGAAGCTGTACTCACTCCGCACTTCTACCTCCACCGGGTATTCGTTAAGATTATTGATGGAGACCACCATGCAGGTGAAGACTCTCTGGTCACCGAGGGTGGCTTTGGTAATCCGCAGACTGGAGTTGACTGTGATGTTAATGCGGTCCTTATAGCCGTCTGTGGCCGAGATCTTTGCATCATCCTTCTGGGCCTGCTTCACCAAGAGGTCTCCAGATGAACCATCGTCTTTTGTCTAGAAGCAACACCACACACACACACACACACACACACATATAGAGAACTGTTACCAATGTGTCATATACTGAGCTACTCCAGAATACCTGTTCTGCACAGTATGCTGCTGCTGGTATGAAATGCCTTGACATACTCTTTTGAGTATGTGACAGTAAAATGACATTTTGAGGGCCGGCGTTGCTGCAGACGTGACAGTTGAGTTGTCTAATTTGAAAAACTATTTATTCGTCTCCATATAGACACTAGCAGAGTGAGATTTATTCTCAGACAGTGCTAGCAGGCTTAGCAGGCAGCCAGGAATATACACGGGATCCAGTGCTTACACATTCAGACAGTAAGTGCAACACCGACTCACATATTTCCATTTGGTGAAGATCAGATCAGAAGGCTTGTTGTCGCCGTTGTTGCATGGCACTATGATGGTCTCTCCATACTGGCTGATGACCTTCTGCATGCCGCTTGCTGAAACACAAGATTAAAAGAGGGGGGAGACCTGTTAGAGATGCTAAATCAATGTCAAGCAGCATTGGCTAACATTTAATAATCTCAGGGCTGGTTTCAATGGCGTAACCACTACGGCAATCGCAATGCAGATCACAGCAACTGGTGGCCTATATAGAATAACCTACAGGCTGCCTAATGCCTTTATTATACATTTTACACCCACAACTCATGAGAAGCTATGATAACTTAATAATAAATTTGAACCATAATAATAAATTCCTGCACCAACTTGTTTCAGACAGCGATAGCGAGTAAACAAGCAACGAGTGTTGCCTTTTTTCTTCACTCCATTGAGAGACATTAAATATTGGGGCATTTCTTTTTTTACACTGGGGCAAGTAAGACTTTAGCTATGCCACTTGCTGTAAGCGAGCGGATTGGGACAACTGTTTACATACATTTGCAAACACACATGCATTCGCACCTATACAGTACTGCGCAAAAGTCAAAGAACACTTTTTCGTATTTCATTTTCAGTCAAAATGGCCATTAAGTACAAGTTATTAATTTTCTTTTCAGTGACAGAAAAAATGAGAAAACAGAAAAATACACTAAAGCCTCAAAAACCAAATATAATATCAGATTTTCTTCAGGATTCAGTGTGTCCACATTTTGCCTTGCATACTATTCAGGAGACTTGCTTTCAGTTTTTCAAATGAATCTGCAGGGACAATTTTCTACACCTGCAAAGTTCAGTCTTAAAAGTTGGCTGCATTTTCTGCTTCTAACCGTCCAAGTAATCCCAAACATACACAGTGATGTTGAGTTCTTGGGTTAGAGGGGCCTGGTCCATTGTTCTTGATCTTCTCAGCAGGGTGCTTAGGGTCATTATCTTGCTGTAGAATGAATTTCTTGCCAATTAGAGGGTACTGGATGATGTATTAAAATCTGTTTGCACTTATCAGAATTCATGTTGCCTTCAATCACAAACAAAATCACCAAATCCAGATGTTATACATGCCCAAACTTGCACTGGTCCTTCTCATGACAGAGAATTTTGGCAGCTAAGGTGCGTTTGTGCAGTTGCTTGTGTGAATGTTAATGTTTCTCTGAATGGGATGATAATGTCAGTGATATCTTTGGGAACAGCTTCTGTTGGGAGGATGCAGCTGTAAGTTGTTGGTTCAGAAGTGTGAATAAATTAAATACTGGTACATTTGATATTAAACTTTGTGCTGGAAGCCTTCATGTAATTTTTTGTTTTCTGCTTTTTTCCTGATACTGAAAAATGAATAACATGTACTTAATGGCTGTTTTGACTGGAACTGAAATAAACAAAAGGGTAGTCTGTGTCTTTCGCACAGTACTGTAACTGTTCCGCACCACATGTAGCGTTCAGGGTGATGTCATTCTAAACATAACTGTCTGCGTATTAAAATAAGCAGCGCACGTAGGATGTGATTAAGAGGAAGTTGGGGGAAAGGTTTGCATAGCATAGTTTGATAGTTTGCCACAGACTTTTCATGCTATCAGAGTCTGTGTGCTCCAGTGCCTAAATACACTCTCCAATTTGCAGTTGGATGAAAAGCCCACACCTCAAATTGAGCTGACAGTGCTTCAGGACTCCCCCTATTCTCCTGTCTGTGAGGGGGGGGGGTCGAGCTTTCAGAGGTTGTCACAGCGATGAGGTGCTGTGTTGAGTGGTGTGGCGTTCTCTGGTGGAGAGGAATAAGGGGTTGGAGGTTTGAGGAGAGGGGGTTTTGAGGGGTGTTCTGGGTTATACAGGCTTTGTGCTCCAGTCACTTCCATCAACTCTCAAACAATGCACAACCAAGCCGAGTTCACATTCTGGTCGTACCGGAGCGCTGCCGCAGGCGGTGGCACTTCAGCAGGCCCACACGCAGGCACACCAATCGTCTGAAGTATCCTCACCAAGTGCTTTTCATTTTGATCCTGATTTTAATGTTACCTGAGTGCTTGTGTTATAAGGTATGAGCATGCTGACAAAGAGGAAAAACCAGTCTGATCTGGAAATAAACAAAGACTATGGGTATGCACACACACACACACACACACACACTCACACACACACACTCACACGTCTCGTCACACTCAAATTTCAGAATGTAGGAACAAAATCCGGCAAACAAATAGATTCAAATCTGAGGGAAATTCACCACCTTGCAGAGTACAGTATAAACAACTAGTCTTAGCTTAGCATTGGCCAAGGGTGCAGCCTGAAATACCACTATATACTGTTCAGTGCTGTCAATCAGTCTTTATTTTGATGATTAATTGAGCAATCACAGGCCAAACAATAAAAATAACAATAACAAACCATACACAGCTTTTTAAAAGAGTACAAAATACCACCCTGGAAAAACAAACTAGAACGTAGGCCTCAGCAATAGCGCACTATACAGTCATTCTATTTATCTGAGTTTAAAAAAAATAAAGCATAAATGTGAAATATACCATATAATTTGCACAGACCACATTTTATGTTTATTTCCCCACAGTGTTAAATTCAGCAAATAAACAGTAATTGTGGATTAAGATGTGTTAACTTATTTTCCTTTAAATCAACAGAACATGTAATTTGACCAGGGTGCCCAAACTTTTGCATACAACTGTGACTGGATATCAGGTGATGATTGAAAAGTAAGCCAGTGATGATGCTTCAAAGGCAAAAGTCCTTGTTAGAAAACACAGCTGAACTACAGAGGACTGATTTAGACCTAACCTTGATAAGCTTGCTAAATAATATTAAATGATGTGTACCTGTAATGTTTCATTCACTTTTACTGTTGAAACAACAGGTTATTATGGAGCATTAAAAGACAGTGAGAAGTAAATTCCCTACTATCTCTGCTTCAGGTTTCCCATAAAATCAACATGAAGTCTAAGGAAGATTCTCTGCATTTTTCATACAGCTTGAATATCTCAATATTTTCCTGGAGTTGTAAAATAAATATGATACGTTATGGTTTCCCACAGACGTCAATAACTGAATTCCAGAGCAACTTCACATGAGGGAGCTATTAGCACGGAAGCTGTTTCTGTGTGCATCATTTAAAAAGAAGAAACGGCCATGAACCCACACCAGCAGGAGCTCGTGAATGCATGTTTGCAGCAGAAACTTTCAAAATGTAGAATTAATCAGTATTACATTGTTTAATATGTGACCTCATTAAGGTAAAATAAATGACATCACAATACTTCAGATTTTTTTCACAAGAGATGATATAATGACATTCATTTTTTCCCGACATCTGATAAGTTAGAAAAGACCAAAACGCAGTGCCACATTTAAAACCAAGGTCAAAAACTATTGAATACAATTCATTTTATTAATATTTTACACACTGTGCTGCAAAATGTGATTAAACATGACTATTTATGCTCTTTTTTATTGAAATATGCAGTTGGGAATTTTTTAAGTACAGTTGATATCTACAATATGCTTAGAAAAGCATACTGTCAAATACTGTGAGGGAATTTATCACAATAATGATAAATGTTGTCATATTGCCCAGCCCTACTGTGTTTCTTACCCAGTGTACAGCTGTATATAGCTGAGATCTGTATCCCCAACTTCTCATTTTACTTGGCTACTTAATAAATATTCGTGTTGTTCAAGTGTTTCTTTATGCGCCTGTTGCTGTGACAATGTAATTTGCTTAGGAATCAATGAATAAAGCCTTTTCTGTCTACATCATCATATTGTACATTGAAGACTGAGAATGTTAATGTTAACCCATGATTATTTTTTTTAAACACTGATTAATCGAGTAATCGTCACAGCCCTGATGCAGTTCCCTTGTTTCTGCACAACAAAGCGATTCGCGTGCAGTTTAGTTATTGTAAATGGAGTCACAGAGCAGACCTGCTCAGACAGGATCTGCGTAAGGAGTGGAAACGAGTGAGCGAGATTAGAGTGGTGGGTTTAATAATAAAGCAGCGCAGGCTGAGACAGACAGGACGGCAGGTGCAGACAGTGCTGTGTACACTGCCGGCCTGGTTGTGTCTACAGAGCGCTGTTTGAACAGCGGGCCGCCTCTACAGGTAAACACTCGCCCCCCACCAAGCTCACACACTAATACCTGCTACCTGTACAGGTGGGGGAGCGCCATGGCAACCGCTCATGAGCCAGGAGGAGAGCTAATCTCTGGGGAGGTGTGGGAGAAGGTGCCGTCTCATTTTCCGGAAAGTTCTTTCTTTTTTCGAGAGGACCCAAACACAAACATCCTTCCTGGATGGGGATGTTTGGAGAGAGGTGAGGCGTGAAGAATGGAACATGACACTCATCAACCCTCTTTCTCAGCTGCTTCGCATGACGACGGTCATTATAGGTGCAACAGGAAAGAAAGGTCCTCTGATAGCACCGAGACTGTGTTTTGGTCACAGCATATCTGTTTTGGAAAAACTGTCGGGACTCTTCCTGCTGTCAGGCATGGAGTGCACTGTCGCTGTTTGCTGACTGAAGGGCTCTGCATGCCAGTCCACTCAATCACTCGTTGCTCTATGTTGGGTTAGAACACCAGGGCTGTTACTATATTAGTGTATGTTAATGCATAGTCTTCGTATATTAATGCATAATGTTAGTAGTTGAGTAACCTGTCATTTATTTTGATGAGTAAGCAAGTAGTCAGTTAGTGATGTACAAAAATGAAAATTATTGGCTAAAATCAAAGCCAAAATTTAGGATACAGACTAGACTGGGCAAGAAAACTGAAACCAAAAACCAGAAAAATGACAATAAATCAAAACTGTTTACATAAAATAAACGTACTAAAATGATCAAAGTACGTGCCGTGATATGCAACATCCTTGACAAAACAGAACAGTTGGCAATGAATTCCATTGTTTGTTACACAATGCACTTCGACTTTAAAGCGCAGACTTATTTCTTAGTTCTAAATGCCAATTAATAACTCAATAACAAACAATGCTCATTATTAGCCACTTTTTATTGCTAAACCATTTAGCTAAACTGTTTTTCAGTAGCGTTAAAGTTT